GCAGGTGTTTTACTAAATATTGTTTTGCAAGCACCAGGCCATAAGTAAAAGTATCAGGAGAGATAAGACGAGGCCTAAATGAATGGGTGTTACACTGCATGTATTGACGTTGGTCTCGCCGCCTAGTCCCGCGCTGTAAAACATGCCGTACATGCCGAAATCTAACAAAAATCCCCTAACGAAATCTGTGGATTTTAACACGTGAATAACGTCTGTCATCGCGGCGTGTGTTGCAGGGAAGCGCCTTCCAAAAGCTGATGATGTTCCTGTACGTCATCGTCAGCTTTATTCTCACCGTCATCATCGTCGTGCTGCTCATGGTGAAGTGGGGCAGCACCTACTAACTTGCGTGCGTCCCGCCCGCCGCCCCGCCCGCCGAACGACCCACCAGACACGAACACACATCCACCGCAGGCGCGGGAGCTTACGCGGGCGTGAACGGACACGGAGGAACACACCCTGCGTCGTCTACGAGAGCAGCTTCAGGAACCGCGCCCGCCGCGCGTCGGTACCTTCAGGAACTACGCCCGTCGCGCGTCGGTACCTTCAGGAACCACGCCCGCCGCGCGTCGGTACCTTCAGGAACCGCGCTGGCCACACGTCGGTACCTTCAGGAACCACACCCGCCGTGCATCGGTCCCTTCAGGAACCGCGCTCGCTACGCGTTGGTACCTTCAGGAACTGCGCACGCGGTACCTTTGATGATGATTATTTTCCGTCTGGTGACCCGCCGTGTCACAGTTCAACGGCGCCATGGCAATGACGAGGTCGCGCTGCCGGTTCGGTTTCCCGTCGTGCCGCGGTGTTGCCTTCTAGTAACGAGAATTTGATACAGATACTGAACAATGGAATAATAAGGGAACGATAGGAATGTGATGTCTTAATCTAATGCGCATAGTAATATATAAGTCACGGCCCTTCTGCAGTGATGATGGTTGGACTACGGGGTAGGTATCCACAGGTGCTTAACACCCATGAATGATTGTGGAGTGGTTTGCTATCTCAACATTTTGTAATTGATGTTTATTATTATTCTCACGAACGTAGTACCGAAGTGTTTTATTCGAGGTAACATATTAGGCGATGGAATGCCTATATGATAGTTTTTTAAACGGTCAACACAAGAGATTTTGATTTTTAAACCTGAGTATATATATCTAATAGTGTATTTTAATGTGGAACTTTCTATAAAGCTACTGCATGACAAGGTTAGTAGTCATCCTTTCTTCCTGACCCTAGCACAATTTATATGATGAAATATTAAATGTCTGGATTAAATGGCATCTTGTAGATGTGGCGAGAAAGTGACCGTAGTAATAGAAACTTCAATGGCAGCTGTATCATTAGGAGCATTCGGTAGATGACCTTACAATGGGTCAAAACAATGCTTCCATTGTCTCTAATAGAGATTCTGGAAAACATTCTTTTTACCAAGTGATATAATTTCAGCAATCTCAAACATCGCGATCAGTGAGCTCAGTTCGTCTGTCCATATATATTATATATCTGTTATATTATATCAAGAGTGTATTAAGTATGCTCAATACGCTCTTGATTATATGTATAGACAGACGAATTTTTTTTACCATGAGCTTTTGTGGCTACAAGATTTGTAATGATATAATAAGTATATAAGATGCCTATGAATAATATGCTTTTAACGAACATATCGGCTACACTATGGCTACACGTAAAAACCGATAGGTTCGTGTTATAGCATGTGCGTTTTTCAATGATGCTTTACATCATATCATTTAACCACAATTAATTTTATTGGTCTTAGAGGTGTGCGTCTTAAAAACATCCTGCAAATGCATTGTGTATGAATCTGTAGTAATATTGGTATTCGTTGTTGGTATTTATAGTGATGTTTAAGTCTTTGTAATAAGCATAATAAGCATAATAAGCATAATTATAAGGTTTAATTGTTCTCCTGACGTGATTGCACGCTACAACTCAACTGAACCCATACGTCCATGTTTCAAGTGATGCAAGAGTAATATTCAGAGTAGCTATCTAGATATATACCGTATAGTTTTATAAATTTGTATTTGTGCAAAGATCGTTGAGAAATGTACATCGTTTGTGCATTCTGGCAAATATTTTTACAGATTTCGAACTCGTGAGTTAAGGGGCGAAATTGTCATGCTATAATTGTAGTGGGGACATATTGGGTGAAAGTAGTGTCATGATAGTGAATCGTTATTGTTGAAATATCGAAATTTTGATATTTTGCCTCACAACTTCGGAACTCCAGTTTTCAAGGGCAGCATCAGTGTCTGCGTGGCACCTTGTAATGCAGTGTTAAGTGACAGTAAGCCGTGATGCATCTACACGTACATGTCCGCTATCACAAACACGTCCACACGTACATGTCCGCTATCACAAACACATCTACACGCACAAGTGTGTAGGTATGTTCCTGCTCTTGCTCATGTACGTGCATTGTTTCATGATATTTAGTAATAAACTCGTGTCATAAAATGGCCGTGACCATTGCGAGTGACATTTTTTTATTAAACATATCAGGTCCACACCCTAATATGGGAGGGAGAGTTTCCCATCCTAGTAGTTACTCCACTGTGAATGAGAAGAGATATGTGGAAGAATCCCTAGCATACGGGACGTCTGGCAATGTTATCTTAATAGTGATCTAGTACCTTTTGAGCCTTTTCCGAAGATTATGGTGTCGTTTTGCCTGTATGTTGTTATTATGGTTTGATGTCCCGTGAACGTGTGTCTGTGGTGTTGTCATTTTAGATCACATTTGTATTTTCTACAGTGAATTTTATGTTGTACCTATATTTAGCAAACCCTGATTGATGTGTGGAGTTTTTATAAAGAAATGACCGCCTCACTTGCCGTAAAAACGGCTCACGCCAACACTTATTCAAAAAATGTCACGCAATATGACGCCATGAATTAACGTGTGCTACTATTACAGAGTATAAATAGGAACATTTCCAAACGCTTAGAATAAGAATGCTAGATTTATTCCTTCGTTTGAAGCATCCGCAGTGACAAGCAATGTAATATTTGTTTATTCACCATGTGTTGACATACGTGTGAAACAAATCTACATTTTTACTTGACTACAGACTTTTACCATTATTGTCTATCAGTGTGATGATGTAGTAATTCCAATGTTACCCATATAGTATGCGAAGAGAATCTTCATACGATTTGTAAGGACTCAATAAATGCATATCACCCATACATGTACTAACGTGAATGGTTTAAATTCATTGAAACACATTCGATGTACTTCGTTTGCTGGATAAGAGAGACTTTACTGTCGTAGCATACTATAGGAAGTAAGCATACTTGGGTAGTAGTATATACTTACTATGTTCATGGTCGTGGTACGTGTTTTTTTCCCTGCATCTGTGTAAAGTGTAATTCAGTAGAAGTAAAGCTAGTTTTAGACGACTGATGGGTTGTCCGTTGTTATATTATGTAGCGCGTCCTGTCTTGTACATTATGTGACATTGTTGCGCCTGTTCGTTCAGGTGACGCAGTTGTTAGACGGCACCTGCGTTTGATCTGGTAAATGAAATTGGAAATCAAATTCCTAATAAATAAATTAGATAACGCGGCCTAGTACATTTCGAGCGAGTTATTCTATAATAGTGCAAACCCGTGTGTATTGAACACATTCATTGTTAATAGGAAATTTCTGAATAGCAATTTAGGTTTTCTTGAGCCATATATTGTGTTATTAATAATTAATACAGTTTTTGTAATCGATGGAAACCTCCATGCGTCATTTTAAATGATCATAAAATCCTGATCGGCCAAAAAAGGAAGAAGTTGCACAGCAAAAAACATGTATACCTAAAGGCTAATGCTACGTTACAGTTCTACCTGCTTATATCTACGTACACCATCAGTTTTTCGAAGCAAAATCTGATGCGGATGTTACAAGAAGCTTCCGCAAAATTATAAGCAACTGCGAATCAAGTTATGACCTGACACGATCATGATCTGCTGCTTACATTCCATAACCTGGCAAGCAAGCTTCAACGGGCGTTCAAATGAGTAGCACGTAATAAATAATTAATATACACGACTAATATTTACATAAACACGACGATGATTGGTTATTACAGTGGACCTGACATTGCAGCTTGGTCGACACGTCATGATGGACATGACGAATCGCTCGCTATCTTGCTGCTCAATTATTCCAAACATAATTTATGTGAAGGAAAACGTGACGTTACAGTTGCACATGGAACGGTAATCTAGTGCAAAATAAGAACTGAAAGAGAGAACAAAACTGCTCCGACAGATTCTGTTGGTTTACAATTAATTCCGAACGCTTTTTGCTTAATTGCTTGTAAAACAGGAAATTTTGCAGCACCTCGTGAAAAAAGCTGGACGACCGCAACACATGCCACGTGTAAGACGTATTATAGTAATGATCTTTTTGAACTGATAAAGCATACTAAAGGTAAATGGAAACACAGTTCACACTCGCACAACACTCGGCAGCGTGAAAAAAATATGAGCAGGAGAGCCAACGAGCAATCCTCCTCACTCAGATAGTCAAGCAACGTCGGGGACGTGCGTGTTAGCTCAGACGTGCGGGCCGTGACCGCGTGATACACAGCGTATTACATGCTGGTGCTTGGCGTGTGTCTTTGCTCAGTTGCGCTGCTGTCACCGTGATACAGGCATCGTGGTACTCGGTCGCTGTGGTGTTTCGCTCAGAGCGTGGATGTGCGATCCGTGATAGCCCATTGTTTTCTTCGCGGCGGTGGAGTGTTCGCCGTGCACGGATGGCCTCCAGCCGTGCGGGGTGTGGATAGGCGCAGCGGGTGTACTGCTCGTGTATGTTTGCTGCTGAAGCGATGCGCTGGCGTCGACGCCATGTGTATACCCATACGTGTTACTGCCGTGTGATTGTGTTTGCCAGGGATCGGTGCCTGGCTGCACCGTTGGGTGTGATAAGCATCCATGCGTGTTATCGGCTGCGTGCGTGTTTCGTCAGGGCGCTGCTGGGCCCCGGTGATAGCGCAGTTCGTGGCTTAGCTGCTCTGCGCGGGATGGGGCGGGTTGCTTCCGGCCGTGCCCGTGTTAACCGGTGAATAACCCAGGGCCCCAGCTGGGGTGTGTACTCGTGCTGCTGCGGGGTTACTCAAGGCGTGGCTTTGTCCAGCCGGAGTGATTACATCATCGTGTACTTGCCGCTAGCAAGTGTTATCAGCGGCTGGCTATCACCGGTGATACACATCGGTTACTCTGCGCGTGTGTTGCTCAGTGCGCTGGCTGTACCGTGATACACAACTCGGTTTACTGCCGCGTGTTTGCTCAGGCGCGGTGGCCTGTCACCGTATACACATCGTGTTAACTCGCGGGCGCAGTGTGTTGCTCCAGCGCGTGGCTTGTCACCGTGAATCACGCCATCGTGTTCACTGCGGCGCGTGTTTGCTCTAGCCGGTGGCCGTCACCGGTGATGACACACTCGTGTTACTCTGCGCGTGTTTTACCAGGCTGGTGGCCTACATCCGTGATACACATCGCGTGTGTTAACTCTGCGCCGTGTGTTTGCCTTCAGCGACGC